AGGGGGGGGGGGGGGGGCATGGCAAGAGAAGAGGGAAGGGAGAGGGAACCGGGATTGACATGAAAAACAATCTTGTTTCTAATTCAAATAAAAAAAATAGGAAAAAAAAAAAAGAACCCTTGTGAACTACCAGAAAACAGTGTGAAATCCATGAACAAACACTGGATAGACAGAACACAACACCACAATCTCATTATGAAGAAAATAGATGCATATCAAAACATAAGATATTGTGATTCATCACTTCTGTTTACAAAATTTTAAAAGACATCAAAACTCATTTTTAGTGAGCTTGAGCAGACATCAATCCTTATATATTCCAGGCTTATATATTATTCTGTAGACATAGTAGCACAAGAGTATGTTATATTGAAGGATGCCCATTCCCAGTACACTTAGCCCATGGCCTTGCTGCAGCCTCTCCCATATACTTCAAATCATCACTGGGTTACTTAACAATGAAAATGCTATGTGCATGGTTGATTACTACATTGTCTCAGAAATATTGACAAGAAAAATGTTTGTACAAGTTCAATATGAATGCTGTTTTTTTTTCTGAATATTTCTGAACCTCACTTGAACCCATGAATTTCAAACCTATGCATACAAACAATATCTGCTGACAAAGGAATTTTTTTACACAGGAAGTTTTTAAGTAAAATTTTCTATATAATATATTTTTCCCCTGTATAGAAAAAGGAAGACTCATGAAAACTAGATTTTCTTTGTCACTGCAAGTGTCCCTAGAATCGTTATTGCTTGGCACATAGTAGGTGCTTACCTATCTTTTTAATAAACTATCTGGACCAGCAAAGTGATCCAGCAGGGAAGGGCACTAGTTGAGCAGCCTGACAATCCCCAACTCCCACACGTCCTGTGACCTCTCGGAATATACTGGAGTACAGGTGTCTGTGCACATGCGTACACACACAGAGACAGATGAATTTAAGTCAGTTTTAATAAATAAATACAACTAGAAATATGCTGCACATTTATTTTAAATGAAAAAAAAAAACCTTGAAAACACAATGTAAAAGTGTCCTTTCATGTGATAAAGAGATGAGCACTTACAGGTATACAGAGGGAAGTTTGTAGATCAATGTGACTTAAGAACAGAATTGCTAGGCAGGGGACATTCATGTTTTACTTTATATTTTCTTATATACTTTTCCCCTCCAATGTCCACTATTATTTTGTGAGTAAATTAGTTTTGAAGCTGGACAGATGGCTTGTGCAAGCATAAGGACCTGATTTCAAATCCTATGCACCCATATAAAACCACAGCCACAGCCACCCACACCTAGAACACCAGCACTGTGAGGGGAGAGGGGATCTCCAAGCGAGAGGATTTCGAGGGCTTGCTAACCACCAGTGTCAATGAGAGACCCTTTCTCAAAGAAGTACGATAGAGACAAACAGAGCAGGGTACCTGGCCTCCTCCTCGGGCTTCTGGGAATTCACAGGCATGCACATTCCCAGTACACTTAGCCCATGGCCTTGCTGAAGCCTCTCCCATATACTTCAAATCATCACACATGCACATGTAAATCACACACATACACACTCACAAGCCTCAAAAAAATACTATATTTGAAATTCATATTATCGAATTGCTGCAACCGGAGCCTATAATCAACTAAAGCTGGCGGGCACTGGAGATCCACGCAGTGATTATCATTATATGAAATAGGAAAAAAGGAAGAGTAGATGAAATAATTTTCTTGATGTGTCACTATGATGCTTTATAAGTTTCGAATGCTAAAAATTAATACATTGTTTTAATACAGTAGACCCATATACCGGTCAGCCCAGTATAGACTTTTTGGACAGCCGTGACAACTGGAACACAAATTATACAATAAGCAGCATCTTACTTGCTCTACAGGTAAGAATACAGTTATCTTAATGCTCTCTCTCTCTCTCTCTGAGATTCTATTTAAGATGGGCCTCACAATGTAGCCCCAGCCTGGCCTTGAACTCCTGATTATTCTGCCTCCACCTTCTGAGTGCTGGGATGGCAGGCATGCACCACCATGCCTAACTTAATGGTTTAACACATTTAATGCTCCTACTTATTCATCACACAAGGTTTAACATGTACACAGTGTATTCAGATGCTTTAGGATCTGAGCAAGCTGGTGTCAATCAAAATGTCTTCATCTGGAACTGAAGAGTGGATCTTTAGCTGCAGACTTACTTTGAAATTGATGGTTAAAGCGCTTCACAGTCAAGGAATACACTTTTTATGAAAGAAGAAAAGAACCATTGAGATGTTTTAAGGCTGGTTTTATTTCAGCTTCTCACACTGAACATGTCTCTGGAGTTTTTCCTGGTTCCCGGGCCTCATCTGCCTCAAAGAGGTGAGTCACTGGTTACACCTTAGAATATTCAGTTTTCTACTGTGTTCCAGACAATGCTAGCTGCTCTCTTTCTCTTATAAGTGTTCATATCAAATCTGGTGAAAAATGAAACCAAAGATACTCTTTCCTCAGGTCAATGTCTGGTTCCCAAATGCCACATTCACGGCAGGGCTCACATCCTCAGACACATATACCTCCATCATATGTCCTCTTTTTTCATCTAATGCTACAGCCAATTATTCCAGTAGCATTGTTTGACTGCAATATCCTACCAAGGAATCTACTTGTCATCAAGAATATCAGTGATAAATTATTAAATTTTGAACATTTGGAATGCCTGGAGAATAATTTGTAACATAATTCAATTCTTCACCAAAATTGTAACATAATTTTGATTTCTTATTCCTGAAAATAAAAGTATTAACTATTATGTTGAATCATCTTGACAGATTAAAATCTCACTTTTAAAGCCATTCAGTTCATTCATTCATTCATTCATTCATTCATTCATTCATTCATTCATTCATTCATTCATTCATTCAATAAACATGTGTTAAACATCTACCTACCAGTATGAGATTGTGTTCTGATAGAGAAATCTGAGACATGGAGCTGGAGAGGTGACTCAGTGTTAGAATCATCCATTGGCTCCCTCCCACATTCTCTTCAGGGCTAAGTACAAATTCTGTCTCAGAGCAGAGGACCTGCTTTTTGCAGTTGGGCTCAGACTCCCTCTGTGCAATCCTGCGTCCCTTTGTATCCCCATGCTTTTCTGCACTCACCTTTCTTGATGCAATTCTGATCAAAAAGAATTTTCAGAGTTGTAAAGTCTTAACAGGACAAACCCAAGAAAGGCTTGAACCTCCAGTAATGCTTGGCCCCCTCTCCATCAGGCGGCCACCCATCTTCGTCCCTGCTCTCCAGACTGTCCATCACGGGGCTCTTCACATCACAGTCAGGTCGAGTGATTCTCTCTCTCATATGTCTTTCCTGATTCCTTTTCCTAGGTCAGGGTTTATGGCTTTGGTCTAGAGGGTGCTTGCTTTGCCAGGTACCCAACAGTATTTAGATTTCTACCCAAGCACTGTGGCACTTCAATACTCACACTATTTCCTGAACTCTTTTCCTATTGGACTATAGCCGATAGCATCCTTGAGGCATGCCAAGGAGCCAATTTTCACTTACTCTTTAGTAATTTCATTTAAATCACTGTGACCAGTGTTTACTGATAATGGACACTACAAATACAGACCATAACTATTGTTTACCTCCTTTTGAATGAAAAAACATATTAATTACCATATTGTTGCTTTTCAAAGAGATGGTACTTTAAATATTGTTTAAAGTATTTTACAAATACTAGTCATCGCACCAGAAAATTGTTTTGGTTTTGCTTATGGCTTTCTGTATGCATTTATTACTTACTGTGTGTATGTGCTACAGCATGCACATGGAAGTTAAAGGACAACTTTCTGGAGAAGTTTCTCTCCTTTCACCATGTGTGCCCTGGGGATCAAACTCAGGTAGTGAAGCTTGGCAGCAAGCACCATCACCCATGAACTTGCCTTATTTTTTGTTGGCTTGCTTTAAGGTAGGGTCTCACTGTGAAGTCTTGGTTGGCCTCGAATTCACCATCTCCTGCTTCCATCTCCCCAGGTGTGTGCCACCATACATGACTTTTTCATGATATTTATTTATTTATTTATTTATTTATTTATAGTTTACCTTTGTCTCTTTATTTGGGGGTGACAGGCCATGAAGGAGGTTAAAGGACAGCTTATGGGAGTCAGTTCTCCTTCCACAATGTGTGTTCCAGGGATCAAACATGATAGTCAGGCTTGGTGACAAATACCTTTCACCCACTCAGCTATCTTGCCTACCTGATTTTTTTTCATAACTTTTAAGCCACAATTGTTCCTTTTTCCCTGCAACCACATTTAAGTACTATAGCAGTATCCTAGTTTGTTTCTCTGTTGCTGTGATAAAACATTAACCAAAATTAACTTGAAGATGAAAGGGTTGATTGACTTACACTTTCTGATCATCATCCATCACTAGGAGAAGCCATGGCAGGAACTCAAGGCAGAAACCTGGAGTCAAGAACTGACACAGATATCATGAAGGAGGGATCATTCCTCATGGCTCGTTCAGCTTGATACAACCCAGAACGACTTGCCTGGAGGTGGCACTGCCTACAGTGGCCTGGTCCTTCCACGACAATCGTTAATCAAGAAAATATACCATAGGCTTGTGGACAGGCCAAACTAATGGGGGCAATTCCTCAGTTAAGGTGTCCTCTTCCCAGATGACCCCAGTCTGTGTCAAGTTGACAAAAACAAACAGGTACAAGCAGTACCTGCAATAATTCTGCTAACTGTATTCTATCAGCCTGCATATTATAACACGCAATGTTCAAAATCTGAACAGTATTTCAGTTTGGGGTAAAGCAATTTTTGAGGTGACCAGTAAGCAAATCATGGTCTAGCACAGAAATTTTGGTCACCACTGGTCATCTATTTGACCCAAGTGCATGGATTCTGTGGTATGCAGAATTTTAAAGGGGTTCCCCCAAGACACTAAACTATATACTACTGTGAATGGAATATCTACAGAATTTTGGTTATCAGTCAGCTCACCTTAAGACAAGAAGGTTAGTCTATACTATGCAAAGTGTTCATTGTCTCTTAGCATTGGAATGTACAAGAGTGAAGACAGTTGAAGAAGGGATGTAACCAAAGGAAAGAGGTCAGATTCCACTCTCTGGGAGGTTTTCTCACCCCATGGCTAGCTCCCAGATGCTAAATGTCAAAGACAAGGACTGAAGAGATGTCTGTAGGAGCAGATGGTGGCACACCGCTAACAGTCTGACCAATAATGAGATCCTCAATCCTACAGCTGCAAGGAACTGAAATCAGCCAACCTCGAGCTTGTGAGAACATGTCAGATTCTTCTACCAAGAGCCCAACCTGCTGCCACGTAGCCTCTGACCTTGTTCAGTTTGGAAACTAGTCCTACATCCTGGGTTTTCCATCTAAAAAATATCAAGATTACAAGATTTTTTCTTTTAAGATGTGAATTTGTGGTAGTCACAACAATCACAGAATACTACTATAGACACTAAATTAATCATTTAATGACTGAAAGGGATATTGACTCTGTGTGTGTGTGTGTGTGTGTGTGAGAGAGAGAGAGAGAGAGAGAGAGAGAGTGTGTGTGTGTGTGTGTGTGTGTGTGTGTGTAAGCTTCCATATCTGTGTGTTTAGCCACGATCTAATGTGGTCTCCTATTAGTATATAAAGGAAGTTTTTTCATCGTTCTCCGATGTTTAGCCTACTTTACATAAAAAAACAATTTAAATTTATATGATAGGAATGGATGTTATAGAGGGGGGGAAAGCTTTTGCTTTGATCCCAGCATTTAATGAATACACAAAATAAAATCAAGATAGAGTGAGTTTCCCGGGGATGATCTGTGTCTCATCATCTCTATGCCTATTTCCTAGTAGGTATAGACATATGAGGCACTCATTAAATGCTTGTTGAGTTTTGGCTTGTCTTGCTATTCCAAGAAAATTTTATTTTAAACTTGTTTGCTGTATGTGCTTTCTTTTAGGTGCTGCTCTCCAACCCTATCCTAGAAAACCCAGTGAATTTGGAAGCAGCCCAGCTGTTGATTCAAGATGAGTCTATGTATAAAGCAGTAATTCAGAGACTTTCCCAGCCAGCACGACGACAAGGACAACGTAAGAATTACTTGCATGGTTTTCCTTGGCAATTAGCATCGCTACATGAAATATTTAAAGCAATTAATTGACTTGTAAGGGATATTTTAATATTTTCTTTATCCATTTTCAGTAATGAAGTGACATTAAATTTCCTCTCCTATAGCTATTTGTCAAACCAATCAGTGTGGTCCTTTTACACTTTTAATATTTTATTTATTACTAGTGTGTGGTTTTCATGAGTGGGTAGACAAAGTGCATGTGTGGAGATGAGAGGAAGACTTGAAGGAGTTAGTTCTCTCCTCCCACCATGGATCCCCATTATTAAACTCATGTCATCTGGCCCGTGTATCGAGGGACTTTTACCTGCTAAGCAGTCATCTTGCCAGCACAGTATGCTCCTTGTGAAAGCATCAGCAAAGATTTTTAAGCTCAATGTATTTACATGTTACAGTCATGTAAATGATAGAGATGGATGCTATTCATTAAAGTTCATCTACCTATCATCATATTGCATCTAACTTTTATCCTCACATCTGTAATGAGTGTTTCCCAGACTGCTTGTAGTACCCCAGATGATGCCTCCTTTCCTCTCGTTTAAGAAAATGTTCAGCATTTTCTTCCTGGGCATTTCTTTCCCAGATATTCCTTCTATTGGTCCTTCGGGAATGACACTGGAAGCACTCCCGTCTTCTACTTAGTTATTGATATCCTTGGGTCTCTGCCAGCATCCTCCACTCTTTGTGCCTTCCACCTCCATTGTCCCTGTATTGTCTCTCCAGTCAGCACAGCTCAGAGGGCTTTCCCACAAGCAAGCAAGTTCTTTCTTACCTACCCTGACCTGCCTAGAAGCATTCAGAAACCTTTAATACTAGTTTAATTGCCTCTCCAGCCAGCAGACTTCTATCACTTTACATACTTTTCTCTCATATTTGTATCGACCCCACCCCTGCTGTCCTTCTAAGACTCCACGTTTCACAGTCCGTTCATATGACTTGTAAATGCTTGTACCATCGTGATTAAGTTCAATTTTTCCTCCTTTACAGGCTTTTGTATCCTATACAAATTGAGCAGTATTAATCAGAGGTCTTCTCCAGTGCCTCCGGACATGTATTCATTTTTTTTCCAGAGTTCTTCCAGCCTTTGCTGGCACTTTCGAAGTTGATTAATACATAGAGCAATAGCATTGCTTCACACTGGCATCATTTCTGGACCTAGCAGTTTTCTGTGCCATCCACAGATACATTCTCTAGAATAGTACTGGCTCTCAGTAAATAGCTGTAAGATGAATGAAGAGTATATACCATTTAACCTTTCACTGAAACCTACTAATACCCTCATTATAAAGAAATATTCTGTAAGGTAAAGCTGTGTGCATATGCTGATGAATAGCAATTTTTTAAAGCTGGGCTCAAAGATGTTATATAATAAATGACTCTATACAATAGATTCCAATTTTGTCCTGCTATGGGATAAACTTGAAATCAAAGCTAAGTATGGTGGCACATACCTGCCATTCCAGTACTTTGGAAGCAGAAACAGAAAGATGGTGTGTTCAAGGCTAGACTTAGCTATGCAGTAAGGTCTTGGCTCAAATAAAAAAAAACACTAACTTACTTTCCTTGTTTCTGTTAGTTAAAAAAAATTTACAAATGCAACTTAAGGAAGACTAGTCTTATTTTGGTTTATGGGTGGCAATTATAGTCCACTGTGCTAGGGAAATCACAGGGATAAAAGCATGAAGAAGCTGGTCATATTGCATGCAGTCAAGAAGTAGAGAGCAGTGTATACTGGTACTCAACCACTTTCTCCTATTTATGCAGTCTAGGACCCAACCACAGGAAATGGTGCCACTCACAGTAGATGCTCTTATCTACTTCGACTAACCTAATCAAGAAAATAGCACACAGGTATGCTTAGAGGTCCCATCATCTTCTAGGTGATCTCATCAAGCTGACAATAGAGATTAACCATTGGAGCTCCAGTCCTTGTCAATATGACACCCAATTATATCACTTTCAGCCAATATCTTCCACCTCTTGTCCAAAACTCTCATGTTCATCTCATAACACAAAATAGAATCCACCTTAAGAAGTCCCCATAGTCACTAAAAATTCCACCAGTGCAAATGTCCAAGGTTCTCACCTCTTTTGAGACTCAAGGCAAAGACTTCTATTATACAATGGCACAGAATAAGCATTCATATTCCAAAAGGGAAGAATAGGGGCACAGAAAGCAATGATCAGATCAAAGCGAGACCCAAATCCAGCAGGAAAAATACCAACTCCTGCAGCTCCATGCTTGGCATCTGGAGCTTATGACTGGATCATCTGGGCTTCACAGATGGGTTTATGTCCCCTACTGCTCCAGTGCTGCTCCAGCCTACAGCATATATAGAATCTCTCATACCAGCTCCATCGTATGCCTGTAGCCTACCTTGGTACACATCCCATGGTCCTGAAATCCCCAACATTTTGACATCTGCCTTGTAACTTAGGCTCCACCATTAACACCCACTTCGGGGCCTCCTTGCAGGGACTCCAACCCTGCCATACTGTCTTGTCTTAACCACTGCCTGGAACTACAGGGCAGGACTTCATGACTCTCTCAATCTTGCATCTCTCATGCTTGTAAAAACCAGTGCCACATACTGTGAAGTTCTGATGACCCTGGGGAAACACTTCTCTAATCAGTTGCTTTGGAGGAGCAGGGAAACCCTGCAGTTTAGGCTTTCTTCCTGAAAGCGAATTTGGATTTTTACAAGGTTCAGCCTCTGATGGGTGAGTTTTTACACTTAGGATACCTTGTCCAGTGAAACCCAAGCTCCTCCCAGTACTGCTCATCTCTGTAATAATCACAGCTGTTTTCTCAGCAGCAGCTGAAATGCCCTCCTGTCTTGAAGTTTCTCCCTGCCAAACAAATTAGTCCATCAGCTGTAAATTCAGCTTCACTCAAGTTCTCAGGACACAGGCAGAACGAATCCAGATTCTTGGCCAAAATATCATAGAAACGGACCAAACCAGTTCCTGATGGAGTTCTTGTTCCCTGGCTGGGCCTACACTGTCCATGTGTCTCTGGTCATTCTTGTCTTTTAGGTTGCTATCAGAATAGCTCATTTAAGCTCTGCTTGTAGCATAAAGAGCTTTCCTGGCCCAAAGCTCCAAATTTCTACTACATCTGTCCCTCAAACCAGTTCCAAAGGCCAAAGAACAATATGGTCAGGTTTCTCATAGCAAAACCCCCACTTATCAGTACCAAATTGATGTACTATTTATTTCTCTCCTGATGTCATAAAGCACTCTGACAAAGGCAACTTAATTAAGGAAGGGTTTGTTTGCGTTCACAGTTTGAGGTTACTATGGTCCACAGTCAATGGGCAGAGAGCAATGAATGCCAGTGCATAACCAGCTTTCCCAGGTTTATACTATAGGGCACAGCCCTGGTGTAGTTGAAGGTTTTTCTCTGTTTCTCCTGATCCTGCTGGATCAGCTTTTCTCCAGTCCATCAGTCCCCACAACCACCTATTAAATAATCATTCGGAGGCTTAATATTTATTATAACTGTTTGGCCAATGGCTCAGGCATATTGTTAACTAGCTCTCACAATTAAATTAACCCATTTTTGTTATTCTAAATTTTCGCACAAAGCTTGCTGCTTGATACCTCACATCTTGCTTCCCCAGAAACCAAATGGTGGCTCCCTGACTCTGCCTTCTTTCTCTCAGCATCTTTTTTTTCTTTTCTTTTCTTTTTTTTTTTTATTTTCTGCCTGACTCTATTCTGCTTGGCCATTGGCCAAATCAGCTTTATTTAGCAACCAATAAAAGCAACACAGATTCACAGCATACAGAAGGGCATCCCGAATTACCCTGGGAATTGTGCTAACCATAGTGAGTGAGCCTTCCCACTTCAGTTAACCTGGTCAAAGTAATCCCTCACAGGCATGCTCTGGGTGATTTTAAACCTCATCCATTACAGTTGAGAGTGACTAACCCTGACGTCAGTCTCTTCTTGTCCTCCATCAGCAGACAGCATCCTTACAGTACAGCACTCAGGAAAGCCAGCCACGTCACCAAACACCCAGAAAACAAGGAATGAACCAAATAGCATCTTTAGCTATTTTATGTTCCTGTAATAGTGAAGTGTAGACATCAAAGCCAGTTGGTGTGCATAGGCTGACTTGACACCTTGGCTGTTCAGGGAATAGAGTCTAAGACCCCATAAAAGGGATGAGTTTCTGAGGTTGATAGGGGAAGAGCATGCTGATTTGGAGGCCACAGCTGCTTCTATACACCAGGAGGAGGAAGTGGCAGGAAGCTTCCTCAGCGCTGTATTAGACAGAAGTACGTCTATGTGAACTTGTGTGAAAACTACATCCAGCAGGAAATAACTGCCTGTAAACACTTGCAAAAAGGTCTCTGCATGGCTATAAGAATCCTCACTTTTATATTATACATGTGAAATGTTACTACAGATACAGAAATCCAGGAAACACATAGGAAGAATTATTGTCACATCTTAGCAATATAAATTTGGATCAATTGAGGCAGTTCATTTTACCATCTTGAGGCACTAACTGTAGATGAGAACTCTGTCCTCAGTGTCCAGTGTGGTAGCGGACAGAAGGACTGAATAAAATCTGTAGAATGAGTGAATGCAAAAAAAAAAATCCCACATATTTAGATTTAGATTTTAATCTACAGTGTACTTAGTACTTGAAAGGGCTTTTAATCATCTTGTCCTTGACACCTCATTCTTAGGGAGGAATCCAAGGGTGAGGATAGTTGAAAGCCACATAGCACCCGAGAATCCACACAGACCTTCCCAGTCTATGGTGCTTCCAAGTTTAATGGGGTGAATGGAATCAGTTGTTTAGGGTGAAACCGTAAGAATTTGCATGTGTAAAATGGAAGGCCAATGTGATAGCCAAATTCAATTCAATGAAGAGGTTCCTGGGAAACTATTTACTAATTGTAAACCAAAGTAGGAACTGTGCTTCTCCCAAGCATGTGTTACATAGCT